GGTAGCCTTTTTTTTTGGGGGGGGGAGGGGGGATGGAGTTTTGCTCTTGTTGCCCAAGCTGGAGTGCAGTGGCGCGATCTGGGCTCACCACAACCTCTACCTCCCGAGTAGCTGGGATTACAGGCATGTACCACTATGCCCGGCTAATTTTTTGTATTTTTAGTAAAGATGGGGTTTCTCCACATTGGTCACGCTGGTCTTGAACTCCTGACCTCATGTGATCTGCCCACCTCGGCCTCTGTAAATGTTGAGATTACAAGTGTGAGTCACCACACCTGGCCACATGGGAGCTTTAAGAGCGGCACAAATCAGGAAGGGAAATGGATTTTTTAGTAGAGAGTACTTGGCTAACTATATGGAGAACAAAACCATCCTTTTCTAATACCATACATAAAGATGAATTCTGGGGTGGGGGAAAGGGTCTGATCACTCAGTATTCAGTCTTAAAGTCAACTCTCTTTTCAGTTTTACACTATACGTATCCGTTCTTTCCAGAGTACTTCATTCCTCCTAGTCTGAGCCATGCCAGAGCTCTCTCCCTTCTCCTCAGTAGCCCCTTTTACAGCATCTAGAATTACAGGCTGCTCCTCTGTTAAGCCAGTAATCAGGTCTCTCTCTGCTTTCCATATTCCAAAAATTTCTACATCCTCTTTCTCATTGTTGTTTTCTTCTTAGGTATCTCTGTCTCTTTGTCCTTGAGAGTTTACATTTGTTCTATTCCTTTATTATAATATTAGGGCTCTGAAGGAAATAAAATTAAACATATTCAATTTGTTATGTTTAAAGGAAAATCAAGGGAAGTTAAATCTGGTCCTAAATGCCAGGCCTGTAAGTTGAGGCTCCATTATCTACTTGAGATTACCAACTGCCTGCTTTTCCCTACTTGTATAAAACACATTCTCTGTGTAGGCCAAGAACTCCAACCATCCCGGCTTATTTTTTTGAGACAGAATCTCACTCAGTTGCCCAGGCTTGGGGTTCACTGGCACGATTTTGGGTTACTGCAACTTCCGCCTCCTGGGTTCGAGCAATTCTTGTGCCTTAGCCTCCCAAGTAGCTGTGACTACAGGTATGCATCACTACGCCCAGCTAATTTTTGTTTCTTTTAGTAGAGATGGGGTTTCACCATGTTGGTCAGGCTGGACTCGAATCCCTGACCTCAGGTGATCTGACTGCCTTGGCCTCCATGGAACTACAGGCATTTGAGCCACTGTACTAGGCCCCAAGAATCCTTTCTTTTACCCACTTGCCAAACTACTCTAGCTGTCTGCTTATACTGTCTTTTTTTTTTTTTCATTTTCTTAAGACAAAGTCTCACTCTATCACCCAGGCTGGAGTGCAGTGGTACAACCTTGGCTCACTCCAACTTCCACCTCCTAGGTTCAAGTGATTCTTGTGCCTCAGCCTCCCAAGTAGCTGGGATTACAGATGTGTGCCACCATACTCAGATAATTTTTTTGTATTTTTATATTATTATTATTTTTTGAGATGGAGACTTGCTCTGTCTTCCAGGCTGGAGTGCAGTGGTGCAATCTCAGCTCACTGCAACCTCTGCCTCCCAGGTTCAAACAATTCTGCCTCAGCTTCTCGAGTAGCTGGGACTAGAAGTGTGTACCACCATGCCTGGCTAATTTTTATATTTTTTTGGTAGAGATGGGGTTTCACCATATTGGTCAAGCTGCTCTCAAATTCCTGGCCTCAAGTTATCCATCCATCTCAGCCTCCCAAAGTGCTGGGATTACAGGTATGAGCCACTGTGCCTGGCCTAAGTTTTTTTTTTTTTTTTTTGTAGAGACGAGGTCTCACTATATTGCCCAAGCTGTCTCAAACTCTTGGGCTCAAATGATCCTCCTGTCTCAGCCTCCCAAAGTGTTGGGATTACAGGTGTGAGCCACCACACGGGGCCTAGTAAAATTATTTTTTAAATATAAGTTATTAAAAAAAAAAAAAACTATGTGGTAGTGAAAGACATATGTTGTGGTGATTATTATAATTTAGCAGCTAACATTTAATGAATGTTTACTATGTAACAGGTGCTATTGAGATCATTTAACATATGTTATTTCGTTTAATCATCATAATTTATAGTGTTTACTATCCTTATTTTACAAATGAGAAAAGAGGGGCTTAGGCAATGTGACCTGGTTAAGGTCAAACTAAGACATGGTAGACAGGAATTCAAACTTAGTCTATCTGGTTCTAGAACTTGAACTCTTGAGCTTTATGGTATAAAATCCTACCTCAAGTGACTTAATATTCTTCTTCCTTCAGAAATGAAGTAAAAATTATGTTACCATTATGGTCTCTTATAAACCCTAATATGAATATTTCATGGGTATGGGGGAAAGATAAGCCCCACATGGGTTACAAAAAGCAAAACAAAAATAACTCAAACTCTATTTTGAGTAACAAAGGGAAAAAGAAGAGCATGTATACCCACATTTAAGGGAACATTTATACACAAGATTTTTTTTGCTTACCAGATTAGGTAATGCAAATTTTAAGTTACCAGATTAGGTAATGCAAAAAGTATTATTTTATATCTTTAAATACACTGAATAAAATATAACTTTATGCTAAACACTAAAAAAAAAATAACTCAAGCTAAACTCTAGATAAATAATTAAGTATTACCAAAGATCTAAGAGCTGGCTGACAATTTTACTTTGCATATAAAATTTAAAAAACCGGCTGGGTGTGGTGGTTCACGCCAGCAGTCTCAGCACTTTGGGCAGCCAAAGGGGGTGGATCACCTGAGGTCAGGAGATTGAGATCAGCTGACCAACATGGTGAAACTCCGCCTCTACTAAAAATACAAAAATTAGTTGGGCGTGGTGGCAGGTGTCTTTAATACCAGCTACTCTGGAGGCTGAGACAGAAGAATTACTTCAACCCAGGAGGCAGAGGTTGCAGTGAGCCGAAATCATGCCACTGCCCTCCAGGCTGGGCAACAAGAGCAAGACTTTGCCTTTAATACAACAACAAAAAAAACCACACACACACACACACACACACACACACACACACACCCCTGAAAAAACACATATTAAGGAATGCTTTCTCATACAAAGTATACATTATTTGGTTTCTTATTAAAAGACATCAGAAATAAAAAATTTTGAGAAAATAGAGATGATTATATCTTTTTGGTAATGTTGCAAACTTCAAATTTTTCATAGAAGCAATGTCTGATAAATTTGGTTTTACAGAAAAAATGAATAGTAGCTTAAACTGCTATAATATTTTTGATAACATATTTTTCTTATAGTTTGAAATCTAAATAGTCTACTATTGATACATGATTCTTATTTTAAACTAATAAAATGTTTTAATGACATTTTGATTGTTGTAATAAAACATACATTATAAAAGGATCATGGCAAAATAAGATTTTTAAAAGATTCTTTATATAAAAGAAATCTCAACATTTTCTCACTCATGTTTATCAATGCCTTTTTCTATATAACTTCCCATTTTGTTACTGAGATTTTTAAAAAATAGAGCTGAGTTCTCATTGTATTGCCCAGAGTAGAGTGCAGTAGCTAGTCACAGGTATGATCACAATTTGATGTGGCCCTGAACTCCTGATCTCAAGCAATCTTCCTGCCTCAGCCTCCCAAGTAGATGGAACAACAACCACACACCACTGAGACTGCTTGATGTTATTTTACTGGGGTTATCTGTCAATTTCTCAAAGCCGGATTCATAGGCTGACTTAACCATATAATACATATTATTTTCAAGTTTGGTACTTAGCTTCCTTATTTAAATTCATGTCTCTTACCCAAACCATTAATATTCTCTTCTAACTGGCAACTTCTAATATTCTTTTAGCTAATATACATTAGCTAAATTAAATTTCTCAAGTAGTCTCGTGTCATACATTTTCTTTTAACATATGGTCACAGAAAGCTAAGAATGCACTCTGTCAAAACAGCAAATTGTCTTTGCTTTCCTACAAAAGGTCTCTCTCCAGTTCAGAAATATTTACGATTCTAACATTTACCAACAAATATATACTTCTAACGTAACTTTCATGAATTTGTTTGCCTATAACACAAAAAAATGTGCTGTCCTAATTTAAAAGTTTTAGTTTAAATTAAATGAAGAAGGCACATGAGTCTAGCACTAACTGTTCTTTACATGCTGTAGGCTGTTGCTTGATGTACAAGTTGAATCTAAAAATAAGATATGAAATACTTTAAAATTTAAATCTGAAGCCCTGCCCAATTCTGATTAACTAAATTTGTATCTAAATGTGACTATCTTCATTTTTGTAATGAATTTTTATTCTTACCCAAACTTTTAAACATCAACAAGGTACTGAACATAAATATGAGACTTTAACCTTAAAATATGGGAAACTGAGCTCTTTCAAAGCTGAGGTGGAGAGGGTGTAGATTAGTAATTATATATTCCCACACCTACCGTCTTACATTAGGGAAGAAAGTACCTCAAGTCTCATTTAATGCTCTTAGTCACTAGTATTGAATGCTTGATTTTAATAGTAAATAAAGAACCACATAATTATTGACCCTCAATCTTTCTCAGATGTCTTAACTGAAGGTTCAAAAAAACTGACTCTGTAACATCCCAAACACTGAAACCATCATTTTTTTTTTTTTTTTTTGAGACGGAGTTTCACTCTTGTTACTCAGGCTGGAGTGCAATGGTGTGATCTCGGCTCACCACAACCTCTGCCTCCTGGGTTCAGGCAATTCTCCTGCCTCAGCCTTCTGAGTAGCTGGGATTACAGGCATGTGCCACCATGCCCAGCTAATTTTTCGTATTTTTAGTAGAGACGGGGTTTCACCAAGTTGACCAGGATGGTCTCGATCTCTTGACCTCATGATCCACCCGCCTTGGCCTCCCAAAGTGCTGGGATTACAGGCTTGAGCCACCACGCCCGGCCCCACCATCATTCTATACTAGTCGTGTTTTCAATTTGGAAGAGAAATAGATAATTCTAGAAATCAAAATTAAAAATCAGAACTTCATACCTTGTGCAAGCATGTTAAATTCCAAGAACAGTGCTATGTGGTAAAGTTCCATGGCTTCTTCTGCCCTGGTCATGTTTGGCTTTCCTGCGACGAGAGCCTGAACTTCACTGAGACTCCCAACAGAGGGGCTACAGTGCAAAACAGAGAGGTCCACCACGTCGGTATACATACAGTGTAATATCACTTTTGCATATTTTTTTGGTATAATCGACTCATCTAATATAATTCTTGTGGGAGTCCTCAAAGTTCGGTCTGTGATTTCTTCACCAGTTCGTATCCTCCTTTGCAATAAATTTCGAAAAAATGGGGACCGTGCAGAAATAACAGCCTTGTGGGCTTTGAGCTCTTCATCTAAACAGTTCTGATTTCCACCAAAAGCTTCAACCAGTTCAGAGTCTGACGAAAAACTAAGGACGACATCATAATAGCACATGTAATCAAAGAGTCCACGCATATCTACATCAAGGGAATTTGGTGTTCCAAATTCTTCACTAAGCTGAACAAGGATATCGACGTTTTGAAACCTTGAGTCCTCCATTCCAAACTCTCCTGTATAAAGGTAGTGTAACAAAGCAGAAAACATGGGCATATCAATACCAGCTGTATTGATGTCCATTATTATCTCTGCCCCATACTCAGGTGAGGAAGAAAGCAGTGTTTTAAAAAATGGACATCTTGCTGCCAAAATGGCACGATGAACAGGAAAACAAGTTTCTTGAAATATTAAGTCTACATCAGTACAATACTTGTACTCATAAAGATCAGCCATATCTTTCTGCAATGTCCGGGCTTCTGGTCTAGCCAAACTGGCTTGTAGAGAAAGCTCCTTTAATGCTGACGTTCCCTCATATTCCTCCACTAATGCATTGACATCTCTAACATCCCACCCAGAGAGGAGTTCTCGCATCTGCTTGGCATGATCGGCAGACCTATTAGATTTTCGACGCTTAATAAACTTCTTTTTGAGGGTGGCAAGGCCAGAGGTTCTCTTTTTTTTGTCTTGTGGTTTCTCATGGCCATGGTCAAGGCTATACAATTTTGATTCGCAACCATAGCCTTGCTGAGAATAGGATGATGTCCCTAAGAAGAAAATTAAACAAATGAAAATTTGTTTCTTTTTTCTTAACATTCATTTTTAACATCGAACATTTTTCATGCTGAAAAATTTGCAAGCAGACATTACTGAACCACTCAAAATTGCATTTGTTTTGTATAAAGAAAAAGTTCAAATAACTCATTTTAGTTTTCAATTTAATTTTTAGAAATGGAGTCTCACTCTGTTGCCCAGGCTGGAGTACAATGGCAAGATCATAGTTCACTGCAGCCTCAAACTTCCGGGCCCATGGGATTCTCCCTAACTTCAGCTTCCCCAGTAGCTAGGAGTAAGGCGCGTGTCACCATGCCTGGCTAATTAAAAAAAAAAAAACAAAAAAAACACCTTTTTTTTTTTTTTTTTGGTAGAGATAGGGTCTCACTTATATTGCCCAGGCTGGTCTTGAACTCCTGTCCTAGCCCCATGTAATCTTCCTGCCTTGGCCTCCTAAAGTGTTGGGATTACAGGTATAAGCAAGCCACAGTGATCAGTCTACATTTTTTTATATTAAATAAGAAATAGGGACAAACAGAGCAAATTAGTCCAATTTTTTTTAGAAAAAGTCTTTCATCCCCTGGCTATCAAAGAACATATAGATCTCAATCATGGGTTTTTTTAGGAAATGAAAAGTAGGCAGAGTTGTAAATTAAGAATATTACTTGTATATAATTGTGAAATGTTTCTTTTTCTTAATTATACAAGTCTGCATTTGTATGGGCAAAATAAATGAAACGGGACATATGTACTTTGCTGTTTTCACACCAATGGAGATTGCTAATTTGCCTAGGTTAACTGGCAATTATGGTTAAAACACAGAAAAGCTCAACTGTGCTACAAGCGGTTTGTTTAGGATAAAAATCATACAAGCCAGATTTAAGATTTACATTTGTTGGGGAAAAAATCTAGATGCTGCAGAATTATTATAATAACTACAGCTCACTTCTCTTGTCGTCCGAAGAGACTACCGAAAACACAATTCTATTTATAGTCACAAAAGAAAATGAAGTTAGGAAAACTGAAAGTTACCTATAAAAGTCTGTTGGGCCTGTGAATTTCCCCCTACCCTCGGGGAACATGAATGAGGATAATTAGATGCATTAGCACCCATTTTCTTCAGTCACTCAGGCATTCCGTCTGCTGGTTCTTCAGAGCATAATCCCAGAGGCCTTTATGAACCTTCAACCCTGGATCCAGCAGCCTCTTTTCATCCATTTCTTGATATGAAACAAAAATAATTTAATTCATTTTTTCAAGTGTATCTCAAATCACAGTTGTTGTTTTTTTTTAAAGCTACTGAAAACTGGTTTCTTTCACAAATAACATGTTGTCAAATTCACATGTTAAATTTTCATAAAATGTAAATAAATCTTTAAGCTTTAATTATCAATCTGTGTTAGCTGCAATTTTGAGCCATAAAATGTACCAATTATATATTTTCTAAGCCAGTAAAAAGTAACATATCAGACCAACTTAAATATATAGTTACAGGAATAATATTTCAAAACACAGGGAAAAGAATTTGGACTGAAAATAAATGTTTTAAATCCTCAGAGATAACCACCATTCATTATTATCTAACATTGTAAGCAGTTTACAAATGTTTAAGAGGTCAACACCAGTACTGCTTGTACAAAGAACACATAATTCATCAGTTTGTTGTTTCTCTGCCTTAAAATAAAGTTGCTGAAAATAAATTTTTAATCTGTATAATTAGGCATTTTACTAAAAGAGGGAGGAGGAAAGGTGAACAATTAAAGCTAAATATATGTAGGCTACTTGCTCTATGGTAATTTTGAAAGAAGTTATTATACACATGGCAAAAGACACGAAACAAAAAATTTTATCTATCCACTCCATAAGGCCCTGAAACAAAAATACTGCTTTCTATTATCTGATATGAAGATTTAAACGAATAGGGCAGTAGCAGTAAATGGCAATTCTAATAATTATAGATTAAATTCTGAACATGGAACCTTAACTCTGAGAGCTGCTAGCAAGAGATGTATGCAAAAAAGAAATTCTAAGAGAGAACAGCACTAATAGAAATACTTCTAAATCTTTACACCATCTGGATACATAAAATTTACTTGACTAAATGGGGTAACAGTTTAAAAAGAGAAAACACAATTTAAAATCTATTATTGGAATTAAGAAACCAACCAGTAGGCAGTTAACCTAGCCTCATAATGAAGAATGAAGTGTTTCAACAAATACAGTGAAAAACACGTACACAAATTATCACAAAAACCCTGCTAGAAACAGAACTGTGTCAAGATGCTTGGAATTTATTTTCATTTGCTAGTGATAAAGCATAACCTTATGAATTCATGTTTAAGAATATTGCTGTTAACATCTGTGTTTTCCTATAATCTTTTATAGACTATATTTATATGAAAACTAATTAATTAATTACTTATTTAGACAGTCTCGCTCTGGCACTCAGGCTGGAGTGCAGTCATGCAATCTTGGCTCACTTTAACCTCCGCCTCCTGGGTTCAAGCGATTCTCCTGCCTCAGCCTCCTGAGTAGCTGGGACTACTGGTGAGTGCCACCGTGTCTGGCTAATATTTGTATTTTTAGTAGAGATGGGGTTTCACCATGTTGGCCAGGCTGGTCTTGAACTCCTGGTCCCAAGTGATCCACCCTCCTTGGCCTCCCAAAGTGATGGGATTATAGATGTGAGCCACTGTGCCAGCCATGAAAATTTATTTATCTAAACATACAATTACCACTTACAGTGTTCAGGATAAGACTGAGAAACTTACTAACTAGATATAGATATTACGAAAAGTAGCAGTAACTCTAATCAAATCATATACTTATATAAGCAAATTTCCTATTTGAAACTTATCTACCTACCTATAAGAACAGTGCCATTAGACTTTACTTCAGTGCATACTACTGGAAGTAAGAAAGGCTGTGGGTAGCCAGATACACAGACAGTGCATTCTGTAAGAACTAAAACTACACAGCAAGGATTCTAAAGGGTTTAATACATAGTCTGCCCTTTGTATTCCATGGGTTCTGCACCTATAGTTCAACCAACGGCAGACTGAAAATATTTGGGAGGGGGTGGGGAAGAAAATATTTGGGGAATTAAAAAAAGACTGTTGCAGCTATACTGAATGGTTTTTGAATGTTGTCAATTTTTGCAAAGAAAGGTACTAAAATTACCTGTATTAATTCCACTTCAAACTTAAACACCGGTTAAGTAAAACAAATCTTGGTTTTAAAGCTGAGCTCCACAGAAGCTTCAAGATCCTATCAGGCTTTTTATAGGAGTTCTTTCAAAGAAAATAAGGGCCTCTGAAGGCCAAGTTTGTGGCCTCACTTATAGGTCAAATCCTAATCTCACTCACTAAGGGTTTACATTTAAAACACAAAAAACAGCACAAACAATCCTTTCTCAAAAAAGTTTAAAATATATTAACAAAAATACAGAAGAAAACTTTGCCTTTTGTGAGACGGGAGTTCTGCTCTTGTTGCCCAGGCTGGAGTGCAATGGTGTAATCTCAGCCCACTGCAACCTCTGCCTCCTGGGTTCAAGCGATTCTCCTGCCTCAGCCGCCCTCAGCTGAGATTATAGGCATGTGCCATCATGCCTGGCTAATTTTATATTTTTAGTAGAGACTCAGTTTCTCCATATTGGTCAGGCTGGTCTTGAACTCTTGACCTCAAGTTATCTGCTTGCCTTGGCCTCCCAAAGTGCTGGGATTACAAGTGTGAGCCATTTCTCTGGGCCTAGAATAAAACTATTATGCAAAATAAAAAGCCTTTACTAAAATGAAGGTGGGACAAAGAGTTTTAAGATGAACCTGGAATCCAGGTATAATGGGAGATAGTGAAAATCATATTGAAGTGTTTCTAAAGGTAAGACAGCATGGTGTCACTCCTATAGCTAGGCCTCTTTTCACTTTCAAGTTCCATATTATTTCTTTTTTTTCTCTCTCTCTCTCTCTTTTATTTCTATTGACTGAGAGTAAACTCAGTAACACAGCACAGAGTATGCTTATGGCACAAAATTGTTCAAATAAAACAAGGAAGAATACAGCTTTCCCTGTGGATGAAGAAAAATCAGAAGCGTCTTTAGAAGTGGACAAGAGCTTACTACTCTTTACGACACGTATATGTATGCACACACGTTACTATTTTTATCTGAGAATCTTGTATGGTTTGTAGAGACTCAGGATGCTACATGTTGAGCATGTAATCAGAGAATCCCAAATCTGAAATGCTCCAAAATCCAATACTTTTTGAGTGCTGAGAGGATGCCACAAGTGGAAAATTCTGGAGCTGTCTTCTTTGCTTTCTGATGGTTCAATGTACATAAACTGTTTCATATACAATATTATTTAAAATATTGTATAAAATTACCTTCAGGCTATGTCTATAAAGTGTGTATGAACCATAAATGAATTTTGGATTTAGGCCTGGGTCCCCTACCAAGCTATCTTATTACTATCTATCTTATTATCTTGTGTAGACACAAATATTCCAAAATTGGAAAAATCCCAAAACCTGAAACACTTCTGGTTCCAAGCATTTCGGATAAGGAATACTCAGTGTGTACTACAGTGGTTTAATACTTAAACCATGTCAAAAATGCCTTAAAAAAAAAAAAACAAACAAACAAACCAAAAAAAAAAAAAAAACAAAAAACCTCTGGTAAGGGAAGAACACCAAGAAAGAAGAAAACAAAATTTAAAAAGCTCTATTTTATCATGAGCACAATTAGATATTCTAAAACAATTATACAAGAGTTATATAACATCAATGGCCCCTATGGAGAAACAAGAAAAAGTTGCAAACACTAAAGGAAGTCAGAGGCTGAGAGCTAAGGATGTTTGGTCATTTGGGACTACAATAAGCAGTAGTAGCTGCTGGGAGACCTAGGGTTTTGCCTTAGAGAGGTGGCCTGAAATACAAGTGTTTTTGGGATTTAAGGAAGGTCTCTTCCTGGTAGCTCCTGCTTAATAGGAACTCCTTTCAGGATGAACTGATTTGGGGACATCCATATATCCTACTGGAGCTCTACATACTAAAACAAACACAGACCTTAGAAGGCCAAGGGAGGTTGGGGAGGTCTGCCTGGATCAGATGTATCCCTTGAGTTGAGTCTACCTATATGCCCCAGTTCCAAAGCCTCATGGGTAACCCTGACTATAGTTCTAGTAGTACAGCAATATTTCTTCTCAAAATTAATTCAGGGATTAGTTTCATTACTTCTCAGGTAACCAAATCCTATGCCAAATGGTACTGAGTATTATGTTATTTATTTCTTAATCTAAACCATTACTTTTAGATGTGGGTAATGAGACCTAGTCTCAGTCTAATCTCTCCAGCAATGTGTTCTCTCCAGGTAAGGCTGGTCTCTCTCCTACAGACATCCAATATTTGGATGATGTAAAGGAGAGGGGAGTAAGGAGAGGGAAGAGGAGAGAAGGTCTACAGGACTTGGAGAGGCCCAGAAGACACAAATGGCTGATGAATCCTTTTTCTAGAATCACCATTCTGGGGGACTCCCTCTTAATAGCACATGATCAGTCCCAATCAGATGATGCTGACTGTCTTATAATAAAATAATAAAACAAACTCCAGTGATCATGGCAGACCCAACTGTGGGGTGGGGGTGGGGAATCACGTTGAATGCAAGAGAAACTAAACAACCCTATGAGACATTTTTTTAAAAAAGAGAAGTCAACTTTCTCCTCTCTAAGCTACCCCCTGCATCTCAGCCCCAAAAAGAAAGCCCCAGGCCAGCATTTTCCAAAGTGTTTTCCCAAAATTTAGAAAATGTAGAATTAAACAAAGCCAAGTTTCTTTACTTGAGGACATCTGAGCACCTTTTAAAGTGCTAAGGTTGATTGTAAAGAGGGAGTATTCAGCATGATCTAAAGAAGCCCTGTTGCTCCCATAGAGCATAAATAAATGAACTTGCATAACACACTCTGGAAAATGCTGATCTTTGCCATTACACTTTTTATTGCTTCATGCAACAGAAAAAACTGCGGGAATTAAGGTTTCTAGGATTCTGTTATCTCTGTCACTAATTTACCATGTATGTAGGACATGTCACATGTAATATCTATGGGCCTCAGTTACTGTATCTGTAAAATAAGGGTGCTGAAAAAGAAACCCAAAAATTTAATGAAGTTGTATGGTTTATTAATCTAGGAAATAAGAATGAGGAACCCCTCCTTCCTTCCCTTCCTTT